ATCCAAGGAAATACTGCAAGAAACATAAATCTTTCATTTCAAATGTGCTATTGAGTTTTTGTTTGATTTTATGAATTGTGCCCATATCATTACCAAAGATAATCATATCATCCACGTATAGTAATAAGAAAACTCGTCCTTCAGAAGTTTCAAATACAAATAGTGTTGGATCATGATGACTTTGTCGAATTGCAACAGAAGGAACTTCATTACGAAAATTTTCGAACCAAGCACGAGGTGCTTGTTTGAGTCCATATAATGCCCGTCGAAGTTTACACAATCGTTTGTTAGAATCTACAATACCGGGAAGTAACTTCATATATAGTTTCGTATCAAGATCACCATTGAGAAAAGTATTTCTGACATCTAATTGATAGAGAGACCATTGCTAGACAGAAGACATTGAGATTAGTATACGAACTGTAGTCATATGAGCGACGGGAGAAAAAGTTTTTGCAAAGTCGATGTCATATTGCTAATTGTAACCCTTTTCCACCAGGCGGCTTATATCGCTCTAGACTACCATCTGCATTGGTTTTAATTTTATATACCCATCGACAACCTAAAACAGTTTTTTCTTTTGGAAGAGGTGCCAGGTCCCAAGCATGCATACGCTTAAGAACATTCAACTCATCAGTCATTGCTTGTTGCCACTCAGGTTGACTTATAGCTTCTTTGTAAGTCTGAAGTTCAGAAAAAGAATGAGCAGAGGCAAAAAATGCTTGGTGCTGAGGTAAGAAGGTTTCATAGTTAGCAAGTTCGGAAGGTAGAACAGATACCCGAGTGATCCATCTAAGAGCAGGGAGTGGCAGATGATCAACATGTGCAGGATTCTGATTAGGACTGTCAGCATGAAATGGGGGAGTTCTTCCTTGGACATCAGAAGGATAGACAAGGGTGGAATGATCAGAGGAATTAGGAACATAATCAGAGAAGGGGATCAAGAAAGAAGGGTGAGAGGGTGAGGGATTATTGCTTTTGTCAAAGAATGGAATGTGCTCAACAAACACCACACGTCGGGATACTCAAGGTCTTTTGGTTACAAGGTCATAACACATATATCCTTTTTGATGATTAGGGTAACCAAGACTGCAATATTTGATCAGCTTTGGAGATAACTTATCTCTCTCTCAGTTGGGGGTTACAAAACAAAGCAAGTGCAGCAAAAAACACGTAGGAGGGAATAATCAGGTGATCATGTAAATATGTTTTGGAAAGATGTTTTGCCAGATAAAATGGAGGATGGCATGACATTGATGAGAAAGATTGTTGTACGAACAGCTTTTGCCCAAAATTCTTTTAGGACATATGTAGAAAAAAGAAGGGATCTTGTGGTTTCTAAGATATGACAATTTTTACGTTCAGCAAAATCATTTTGTTTTGGTGTATAAGGATAGGTTTTGTGGTGTTGAATGTTTTGATTAGCCAAAAATTGTTAAAGCAACCCACTGATATATTCCTCTCCAGAATCTGAGCGTAGGGCTTTGATTTTAGTGAAAAATTGAGTTTCGACATACGAATAAAATTGAGTGAAGATTTTAAAACATTTAGTATGATTATTCATAAAGAAAACCCATGTATAACGAGTATGATCATCAGTAAAGGTTACAAAATAGTATGACCCTTCTTTAGATGGAATAGGTGTAGGACCCCACACATCAATATGACTGGTAAAAATCAGAGTCTTTCCCTTAAGAGCGAGAACCATCGAGCGAGTGGCAATAAATTTTGGTGAGATTTGAGAGAGAGAAAGTAGGAAGAGATCCAAGTTTTTTATTTTTATTTTATACAAATCAGAAAAAGAAACGAGAGATAAGAGGGGCCGAGATCTGAGGGATCAGTAGAGAGATGAGAGAGATTTGGGAGAAATCTCTGAGATAGAGAAAAAGATAAGAGAGATCAACTAGCAGAGAGACAAGAGAGATTTGGGGGGACTGGGATTTGGGGGGTGAGAGATAAGAGAGAGTAGAGAATTTTCAGGAAAGGGAGTGGTAAGAGATATTTGGGGGCAGAGAGATAAGAGAGATTTGAGGGTGGTTTAAAGAGATTTGAGGGCAGAGAGATAAGGGGGTTTTGAGAGAGTTGGAGAGAATAGAGAGAGATTAGAGAGTAAAAAATCAGTTAGATAGAGAGGTCAGAGAGATAAGAGAGAGATCAGATAGATAAGAGAGAGAGATATTAGAGAGGTTGAGAGAGAAAGATCAGACAGATAAGAGAGAGAGAGGGACATGCATCCACCACAAGTACGCAGAGTGAGGATTGAGAGAAAGATCAAAGAGATAAGCCAGAGAGATCAGAGAGGTCTCATAGAAATACCGTGACAGAAAACTTACCCTGAGTTGAGCTTGTATAGATCACAGAGAAGGCCCAGACAGAGAAGGACCAGACAAAATCACAGAGAACCAAGCTTTGATACCTTGTGAGAAATAATCTTTCTCTATATTAATCAATCAATAAGATTACAATACAATTGTTGATTTATAGAGATGGTACAAACAATACTTACTAAAACTATACGATACAATTTTGATATAGGTATAACATACAATTTAGATACTGACATATCTTAATATCCAGTTGTCATATCTGTTGTAGTTTCCATGTCTGTTCACAAAATCTAGAGAGAGAAGTGAGAGAAACCCTGAAATTCAAATTCAAGCTATACATTCAGGAGCCGGAGAACTTGGTAATAGTCTTGGTACCATCTGAAACTATACGTGGTAAGATCACCAGGAAGAACTAAACGAGCAGAGATCTGGATCTCCTCAAAAGTGGGCTTCTTGTTGTAGCGAGCAAGCTTCGAGGCTTAATATCATTGATGAAGCCTAAAGATATAGATATGCAGAGAGGCTAGAGAGAGTAGAGAGGCGACAAAAAGGCTTTAAAATGTTCAAAAAAAAGAATGTTAGGTCTAGAAAGTGAAGGTTTAGAAAAAGCGGGAAGGGATTTAGAGAGAGCGAAAGTTACTTTGTTTGGGTAAAAGTAAAGTTAAAGAGAGAGTGGGAAGCCTTTTTTATTTGACCGGTCAAGGAGAGAGAGAGACACGATTGTGGTTTTAAAGAGAGAGAATGAGAGATGGGATTTTTAGAAAGAGAAATAGATTTTGGGTTTTTAGAGAGAGAAATAGATATTGAGTTTTGAGAGAGAGAGAGAGTTTTAGAAAGAGAGATTGGAGTTTTAGGCTGAGAAAGAGATATTGGGTTTTTAGATAGAGAAATAGATATTGGGTTTTTAGAGAGAGATTGAGTTTCTAGAGAGAGAGAGTTTTAAAATTTTCAAAAAATATTTTAGGCATGTATTATTATTATTGTTGTTGTTGTTAGCGTTTTTTGGGCGGCCCGTTAAAGGCCCTGCTGTATCATCGATTTGGATGGGAAATAAGTTGGAAATGAATTGGTTATGGATAGGATGTGTCCTGGTTTAGTTGCCCCGTAAAACCCTAATTTTCCATTTTTGTTCTCTATATGTTTTTAAAGTTTATCTAAATTTTTTTTAAGGCTCTTCTATATTTCTAACCTATAAATCCCTATTTTAATTTTATTGCATTTTATTATTCTAAATATATTTTAAATTACCGATTCACATTATTACACGACGATTTGGATTACTTATCCTACATGGACCTATGGGATGAATGATCACTCCAGGGTTTTGAAACACAACCAAGAAGCTACCTGGAAAAACGAAAGAAGAGAATGATAGAAACACCAAAGAGAGAGAGAGAGAGAGAGAGAGAGAGAGAGAGAGAGAGAGATTGATTCATGGGAAGCAACAACGGATTGTAGTTTCGGCGCCTGGAAAAATGAAAGAAGAGAATGATAGAAACACCAAAGAGAGAGAGAGAGAGAGAGAGAGATTGATTCATGGGAAGCAAAAACGGATTGTAGTTTCGGCGAATAATACAAATAACCCCAAGATTAAACTTTTAATGTAACTTACCCCAATGAAGTATTTTTTCACTTTTTACCCTAAATATACTTTTTTAACAAACACACTCCCCCCAAGTATAAAAAAGCATTTTTTTTTTTGATAAAAATACCATTTTTTGTCGTAAAAATGTAAGTTTGGCCAAATATTCATGTGGGCTTACATGGGCTGCCGGACTGCCATGTACCAATTGTCGAACGTTGTTAAACTAAAACGTGTCCGATCGCTCTTTGACATTGCTGGACCGCACACCAAACCACTTTTTGGCAGTGCCAGACCGCATGGGCCTATTGCCAGACAGTTCTTTGTCAATGTCAGACCATTTTGGGATATTGTTGGATCGCTTGTTTATATGACCAGACTACCTTTTTGTGTGTCATGAGAAAAGGTAAGTAGTTGGTGTTAGAAAAGAGAAAAGGTATTTTGGTCTTAAAAATTATAACTTTTTGACTTGGGATACTTGCTAGAAAAGTTTGTTTTTGGAATAAATGATGCGATAAAAACATTAATTAGGGGTAGGTTCCAAAGAAAGTTTAGTGAAAGGGGGTTTTTGTAAATTTTACTTTTAAATGCACGTATGGGAAATAATTTGTCCTTTTACCCAAACGATTGCAAAATTTGAAATTTCGTGGCTTGAACAGGACTTTCTTAGTCTCTCCGGCGCCAGCATATGAGGACATGTATGAAAGACAAAAGCAGGCTATCTATAAAAAGGAAATAGGATCCCAAGAATTAAGATATAAAGCAAGCGTATTGAAACAAGAATAGGCCTCCCCTTTGGTGCTGGAATTTATACCCATTTCCACGTTTGAAGACCTTTCCTTATTTGGAAAGGTTGGAATAGGGGCTGAAGAAACCAGAGCCAAGGGATTGTTTTACATTTGAGGTTAGAGTAAATTGGGATTAAAGCTCGCATATTTAGTGTTAAAGTCAAAGAGGTCGCTAGACCATACTCTCATTTTTTTTATTTTTCAGGTAGTTCAACGGTAGGAATCGAACTTGAGATATAGCACGGTTAAACGTCGGCTGCTAACCACTCAAACCCAAGTCCAATTCCTCCACACTCGCACTAGATGGAAGTGCAAAAAGTTCTTCACATGAATGGTGGGGCAGCAAAGACAAGCTACGCTTGTAATTCATCTTATCAGGTTCCTCTTCTCCTCTGTACCATTCTCCACCTTAGTTTCGAAGGAAAGATTTTTTTCCTGGATTACAGCTTTTCGATGTTTTTTTTCTAAAAAGAAAAAAAAGTTAATAAGTACGCCCGTGGGGAAACGGTTTTTATACCTATTTGAATATGAAAGCGCTTTTTCAGGCTGATAGAATTATCTTTGGTAAACAAACTTCTCTCAAAGTGCTTTCACAAGAAACAAACTCCCATTAATGTGGTCTCTCTTTTTCTCAATGATAATAGATTTAACCATTTGAACTAAGCATTTCTCAGTTTTTTTGTATATTTGTAGGGACAAATACAACAAATGCTTATCAATAAAAACAAAGCCATGAATGAATTTCAGCTAATTGTGTCTCAATTTTGCAGAGACGTGGCCTGGACATGCTCATGCCCATAACTGAGAAGGTAGTCATGGATGTACTTTCAACCCATTTAGGTGAGAGCATGAAAATTGCTGATTTAGGATGCTCTTCAGGGCCGAACACCTTCTTGGTCTTGACTACGATGGTCAGGGCAGTGGCAACAAAGGTCCGGCTTGGTTTCAGGCCAATGCCTGAAATTCAGTTGTATCTCAATGACCTGCCTGGAAATGACTTCAATTGGCTTTTTAGAGCTTTGCCTTCTTTCCACGAGAGACTGAGAGAAGAAGGGGCCTTTGGCTCTTGCTTTGTCGCTGGTGTTCCTGGATCTTTTTATGGGAGGCTCTTTCCTAGCAATAGTTTGCATCTTGTGCACTCCTCTTATGCCCTGCATTGGCTATCTAAGGTATGCATTTAAAGATGACCGAATTTAGGGAAATAATTTTGAGAGTTGGTTCAATCTGAACTGTTAAGGAGCGTTTGTGCACCTCCCAGACATCCATAACATGTGGACTGGATACCAACCAATCCTATACATATTTGGTCCCCCTTTTCTTATTGAACTCCCTTAATGCTTAAATTCATGTCGATGATCATGACATGTGGCGTGTGGAGACACTATTTATATAGAAAATAATAAAAAATTAATGGGGGCATTTGAGGGGGCAAGGATGCGGTTCAGTTTTGAATTGCCTGGCTCGTTCTACTGCCCCTCCTTCCACTTGTTTGGTGATATAAAAAGAGAAACTATATTAGGTGTTGTAAAAATATAATATTTTCATCATTTTCAAAGCTTTTTCCCAATTAATTGGGGCCACCTAAAGATATAATATTCTATTTACAAAAAAATGAGCATAGAGACATGTCTAGCCCTATGAGCATTTTAGACCGACACAATAGATACATGCAACACTTATCATGTTGGTGTCAATATAACATTGATTCTTGTGTGCATGCCAATTAAACCAATAGTTTCTACATACACAAATCTCTTTTGCATACTATAGTGAGACTGTAAGAGGTGCCCTTAAATAAGTAGAAGAAGAAAACCATTGTTGCATTACTAAGAATAAGACTATATAAAATTTCATCCTTTTGGCACGGGAATGATTTTATTTGCTCAACTCCTTTTTGCAGGTGCCTTCGGCATTGTACAATGAGGAAGGGATTCCATTTAACAAGGGAAACATTTACATATCTGAATCTAGCCCTTCTTGTGTGCCAAGAGCATACTATCAGCAATTCCAAAAAGATTTCTCACTATATCTCAAATTACGGTCTCAAGAGGTGGTCACAGGGGGAAGGATGGTGTTAATACTTTTTGGTCGGAGGACTGTAGATCCTTATGATAAAGAGGGTGCTTTTATATGGGAAGCATTGAGTCGTGCTGTTAGAGATCTTATTTTGCATGTAAGACCAAAAGAGGCTAGAGTCGTGGTAGTAGCACCACACGCCCTAGTCACCATGTTGTGATTTTTATTCCCACCACTAACACCATCCCATTAATATTTTCAAAATGTTAACTCCTAATCAATTTGATAAAACGGGATACTAAATTATGCTTAAAAAAAAAAAAAAACTACTCATTCATTGATGTATGATACATAGACACTGATATGTGTGTGTTAGAGTCTGACACGTACATGAGTGTCCAAAACACCAATACCAAAATTGGTTTTTCAAACAAAATACATCCTTGACTGTTTAGAGCTTGGGAAAGTTGAGACTCTAAAGGTCATTAAATACATTTATATTGATATTTCTAGAAGAAAGGTTTAGATTAAATATAAGTTTATGAAGTGTTAGACGTGAATATCGTTTCCTTGATGTGTCGACGTACATAAAGCATAATGAACATATGTATCCATATTACATGTGTATTAATAGTGGTTAGAACCTTGGCTTGCCTAATGGACACTAGATAACAAGCTAGCCTTTATAATGTGATTAATCTTGGGATGGACTCCCTCCCACGCATTCATAACATGGGGAGCTTCCTGTGCCTGCTGAAATCTTTTTTGATAAAACCATTGTCCCATAAAATGCACATGCAATCTAGGGAGCTTCACAAACATTGTCAAAATTGACTTTTTAGGTAAAAAAAAGGAAAAAATTTATTTATGCCAAAGACACAAGAAGGTCATGACCAAACACTACATATAACATGCTTTATATATGGACGCGGTTAGCACGTAGTCAGCCCGTATATTACAGAGAAGTGGGCTTGGCAATAAATATATTTTTAAATGTAATTTGATCTTAATTTTTAGAGAATATTTAATATGGAGATCATGAACATGAAAAAATAAATAAATTTTGAAAATTAGAAATAATAATTATATGAAAAAAACATTTGGACCGTTAGTTACAATTGGTTTTAGAAGGACTACCTATTTGCATCCATCTTAAGATGGATGCTTTATACCTCTTGACAGCCTATTATAGAAATGTGGTCCAGCCCGCATGAAACAACTGTTGTTTATATATTGGTATTTCTCATATGCTACAGGGTTATATAGATGAAGAAAAACTGCATTCATTTGATCCTCCTTACTACACACCTTGTGGGGGAGAGGTTGTACAAGAAGTGAAGAGAGAGGGGTCTTTTACCCTTGAGCGCTTTGAGCAAGTGGAGAAGTCTCCCTGTGGCATTAATGGAAATGGGAAAGACATGGCATTAGCCATGAGAGCTGTGATGGAGCCCCTCATCATTCACCATTTTGGAGAGGGAATCATGGACATGCTTTTTGAAGCATATGCTAGACATGTAGCAGTGGAAATGGCAAAGGGGTACAAAAAGATTCATCTGGTTCTAGTCTTGAAAAAGATCAAGTGAACTAAACCATGCTTCTTCGAACCATATCTCTCTCTCTCTCTCATATATTGTAGTGGGTTGAAACGAAGTTTCACAGTTTCATTGCCCCAACACTAATAAATTCTATTTAGTTGTTTTAATATGTTTGATCGATTTCTCCTCTTGGCAGGGAACATTGAGTGGTCCTATTTTTTTGAATGTTGGACTTTTCACTAAGCAAATGGGCATATGCTTAGGGTCACTTAACTGGACCAAGTTACGGAAATGCCCTTATTAGGGTTCTCACTTGGTAACTTGGTCATTTTTTGACTTGTTTTAAGGAGGTACCAAATGGTATGTTTGACAAAAACCAAAACTTCAATATTAAGATATTTGAAAATTTGAATAAAGGTACTGTAGGTGTTTTATTGTTTTGGATTATATTTTGAGAAAGTATATAATGAGACTATTTACTTTTAGTACAAGGTGGTTACAATTAATTTTAAGACCATTGGATGTGAAATTGGATGGCTGCATTTATTTCATTGATTAAATTCAAAGTTCAAAAGAAATTTTCTCGAACTTTGTGACACACCAAAGCTATGAGATTTCACATCGGATAGTTGTAAGTGATTGTGACATCCTTATACCAAAGGTAAATGGTCTCATTGTATATAATCCCTTATATTTTTATCCTAATATGTTTGTTTTTGTGCTTGTTTATTTGTCTACTAGCATCTTTAAAACTTATATATATTTGAAAACTTTAATTGTTTGGCTGCCAAAAAAAAAGAGAAAATTGTTTCATGTGGGCTAGACCGCATTTCTACAATATGCGGTCCAA